AATTTAAATGTTTTACTATAAAATGAAGACGATGTGATGGTGGTAATGTAAACAAGTGAAAAAAGCGTTAAGTTCGGCCGGGCCGAACTTTGGATACCCTCCACCATAGGTATACTGACAGTACTTGAAGTGAAAATATAGGGAAAATACCAAAAAGTGAACCTATACCGATAATTCTACAAACAGATTTATGTAAACCATTATGAAAACCAAATAAAAATTTCAGCCATTTTTAATGGGGATTTTTCCTAAAATCTGAAACCCCAAAGCGTGGACAGATACTTATATCGTATGGTAGAGTATAAAATCCTCAAACTACTGCAATTTAGATTGCAAAGTTAAATGAGGCTATACCTAAAGGGGGACCAATATTGCTTACATAGTGTAGGAAGTAGCGAATATTTGGGGTTATTAATGATCGATATATGTCAATTTCGAACCCAATATTTTAGTTATTTATCTCAATTCTTCCAATTCAATTTAAAATGTTATATCAATCAGGCACCCATTGATTACTTGGTTTACAATCAACATGAATAGGTCGAAATTATATATGGAAGCTATTCTATATCTAAATCTGAACCGATTTCAATGAAACTTGCCGGAGATTAACTTATATTAACTTCAGTACATTTTGCCAATCGGCCGAGCTATGGGTCTTTAGTACACCATTTACGTAAAATCGGACAAAAATAAATATGCGATCTATATGTAAATCTGAACCAATTTCAAGAAAACTTGACACACGAAAGATTATAGTAACTTCAGTACATTGTACAAAATTGTGTGCGGGTCGGCCAATCTTTAAATCGGACGAAAATATATATATTTCGTGCAAATCGAAAGATATATAGGGACTTTGGAGACGCATTTACCTTAAATCGGACGAAAATGTATATGGGAGCTATATATCAATTTGACCCGATTTTCTCGAAACTTGGCACACGTCATTCTTGGCTTAATTCAATACCTAATGCCAAATTTCGTGCAAATTGAAAGATATATATATATATATATATATATAAAACTTTTGTGTCCCATTTACCTTAAATCGGACGAAAATATATATTGGATCTATATCTAAATCTGGAACGATTTTCACGGTACATAGCACACATCATTCTAGACTTAATTCAGTATGCTGTGCCAACTTTTATGCAGATCGAAAGGAATATAGGGACATTGGTGCACCATTTACCTTAAATCGGACGAAACTATATATGGGAGCTATATCTAAATCTGAACCGATTTTCACGAAACTTAGCACTCATCATTCTGGACCGAATTCTGTACTCTGTGCCAAATTTCGTGCAAATCGAATGATATATAGGAACTTTGGTGCACCATTTACCTTAAATCGGACGAAAGTATATATGGGAGCTATATCTAAATCTGTACCGATTTTATTGAAATTTGGCACACATCATTCTGGATCTAATTTAGTACTCTATGCCAAATTTCGTGCAAATCGAAAGATATATAGAGACTTTGGTGCCCCATTTACCTTAAATCGGACGAAAATATATATGGGAGCTATATCTAAATCTGAACCGATTTTTCCCAATTTCAATAGGGTTCGTCCTTGGGCCAAATAAGTGACTTGTGCCAAATTTCATCCAAATCGGATCATAAATGCGACCTGTACTTTGTTTACAATTTAACATCTACAGACGGACGGACATGCATAAATCGTCTTAGAATGTGATCCTATGCATATTCTCAAAAGGAACCATGTGCCTATCTCGTTTCCTTTTGCCTGTTGCAAACATATGCACAATGACATAATACCCTGTACCACAGTGTGGTGAAGAGTATAAAAAGGGGGTTATATGGTGACTACTCCTAAAAGGGGGCGACTAATAATAGTTTTTGGGAGGGAGGTTTGTTACCATACACCACTACAAAAAACCAAATTACAAAGAATTTGGTTAAGAAACGCGTTCAAGAACACCAAAATACAGACAGGGGGTACGCTTATATTATGGGGCTACCCAAAAATTGGACCTATATTTATAATTTTTAGTGGAAAGATTTGCTACCCAATAAGAACAGGAAGTACTAAATTCAGTCGAAAAATACGATCAGAACCCCCAAATTACCGAGCATTTGGGGGTACCGTTATATGGGGACTAGCAGAAAAAATGGACCTATATTTATAATTTTTAGTTGAGTAATGTGGTACCCAATGATAACCCAATGTACGAAATTTCAGCGAATTCAGTTGTAAAACGCGCACAACAACTCCAAAATACCGAAAATTGGGGGTACTCTTATATGGGGGCTATCCGAAAAACAGGACCTATATCTATAATTTTTAGTGATTACAACAGACAGACGGAAAGACGGACAGACAGACATGCTTAAATCGTCATAGAATTTTACGCTGATCAAGATTATATATACTTTATAGGGTCGGAAATGATTATTTCCATGTGTTACAAACGGAAAAACAAAACTAATATACCCTCCCTATTATGGTGGATGTATAAAAGAGGGGTGAAAATGTGTTGAAGCCAACAAGTTTTTTTTTTTGTGTTCTGTCCTGTTTTGTGGCTGGAGTACACAACGCACGCACATGTGCTCAGTAACTATGTTGAAGAATACCCCTTGGATAATATGGTTCCAATGTATGATATTTCGATGTAATTACTGCATCCATCCAAAACTAATGCTGAAATTTTATGCCGGATTTTTGGTGTTTTTAAAATTTTTCTTATAAACAGGACGCAAATTTTTCTTATAAACAGGACGCAATGGGCAAAACTGATTATAGTATTGTAGCATTTGTGTTTTTGCGTCGTTTAGTGCATATTTCATTAATGTGCTCACCGTAGCTTTTTTGAATTGGATTCCAAAGACGAAAATTTCTTGCGCAAATGTTTATAAAGAACCTTTTGTTTATGCGTATTTTATCTAAAGTTGATTGTGGCGGCACATCCGCGGTTCTGAAATCGGATGCGCATAAAAAATTGCATGCGCATCATCTGATTTCAACGAATACGCGAACTCCATGTTGATCATTTTTATATATTGCAACTGCAATATATTTGGTAATTTTTAAAGTCCAAACTCTTATCAGAGAAATTTAGAAATATTTAACAATCATCTAAAAGAATTTGTAGAAGAAAGTGATTCTATGCATATTCTCAAAAGGAACCATGTTTCTATCTCGTTTCCTTTTGCCTGTTATAAACATATGCACAAAGACATTATAACCTGTACCGCAGCGTGTGTATAATAAAAAGGGCATTATATAGGGACTGCCCCCATAAGGAGGCGAGTACAAATAATTTTTGAAAGGGACATTTGTTACCATATACGAAATTACTGTGATCGGTTGAAAAAAAACAAGCTCAAATCCCTCAAAATATCGAAAATTAGAGGTATATGGGGGCTACCGGAAAAAGTGGACCTATATTTATAATTTTTGTGGAGACATTTAGTACCCAATAAGAACCCAGTGTACCAAATTTCATCGAATTCGGTTGAAAACGCGCTTAAGAACCCCAAAAATACCGAAAATTTTTGGGGGAGCGTTATATGGGGGCTTACCAGGGACATAATTTTTGAAAGGGACATTTGTTACCATATATGACTACAAAATACGAAATTACAGCGATTCCGGTTGAAAAGAAAAACAAGCTCAATACCCTCAAAATATGGAAAACTAGAGGTACCGATATATGGGGGCTACCGGAAAAAGTGGACCTATATTTATAATTTTTGTGGAGACATTTAGTACCCAATAAGAACCCAGTGTACCAAATTTTTTCGAATTCTGGTGTTTCAATGTGATTTGACACGTTTCCAAAGAAAACAAATGCGTTTAACTATTTGTGGTGCTTGGATGGCGATAGTTCTTGGATGGCGAAAGTATAATTGCATAAAAGGTTCAAATTGAATTTGAATTTGAAATTCTGAAATTTTCCGCAAATTTGACGTAATTTTCAATTTGGAATTATTGGTATTAGAAAACTTTTTCAGTACAGTATAGATATATGTAATGAAATAGCTCTCACATAAAGGTCCATCCTATTTAAGGTATTTTAATTATCCTAAGCTCATTTTCCTCGTAAATTGCTGTAATTTTGCATTGTGGGGTTTTGGAGGATAAATAATATGTTCGCAGAGATTTGCCAGTATAGAACCATATTTCGACATACCTTCTATATAAAGATTTCTTCCATTTTTACGTATTTCCATGATTCTAGACGCATTTCAAAATCAAAGTGATTGCAATCAACATCTTCGTAGAAAAATACCACAAAACGTGCTGATTTTTATATATCTCCCATATATATTTCCCTCGCTGATCCTGAGTGACTTTAATTTGGTATTCTCATGGGATAAAAAAGACCCTGCAACACAATTTACAATGACATAACGCCCTTCAGGAATGATCCTATAGATCTACAATATGTTGAATGCGCTCTTCGTTTATATCCTCCTAGTAGTCTGGCTTCTTGTTTTTAAGTAACAGGTCTAAGTATTGTAATATGTTGTTAATATATAGAAATTTGAAGTTAAGGAAACCAAAATAATATAATAGGCTACACCCATTTGCATATTATATGCCCGCCACCTATACCAAATACATTTTTGTTTCTTAGGAATTCCAATTACCTTCCAAAAAATAATGTTATGTAGAGGTTAAAATCTGTGTATGTAAGGTGTTATGTGTAAACAAGGTAGTACACTAAAATAATTAAATCGACAAAATTCTCACGAAATTCAAATATAGCTACTATACCGTAACAAACTCCTATTATTGGTATAGTATTTTATATTACATACCAACATGATGATTTCTAGTGAACACACAAATTAAAAAAATAAATAATGAAGACCTCTTAATGTGGTGAATTTCCACAATTTTACTTTTCAATCAATTTTAAATATTCATTGCCATTGATAAAATACGTATTTAGTTTCTCGATAAGTAACCTACACATAAACATGTATACATATGTATGTGAAGATATATTGTTATATCTACTTACGTCAATATTTTTCTCTCTACTTAGAAAATGTTCAGCAACATGTACGGGCAAAATATTTTCCAAAAGCTTTCGATTGTATGCTTGCAGGTGCTCCATATCTTCCTTTTCCTCTGAAAAAAAAAAACAAAAAAAAAAGAAAATATTGATTTTGTAAACAGACAATTTTAATGGATTTAGAGTATTAAAAAAAGTTGTTGTGGAGATACCACAAGAAATGTACGGATATGGCCTCCCATAGTGGTTTGTACGACCGATATATTATTTTTTTTTCAAGAAATATTTATTTATTAATCAATTATTATATTGTCTTCAATTATTATATTGTCTCTCCAATCCTCCTAACATTTCTAAAACACTATTTTTTGTACAGACAACATGTTCTCTTTCGTCTTTTCTCCCATATCCAAAGAATAAGTGCGGGAGTGAGTATCTTTGCGCAAAATTCATGGTAAGATGTATTTATGTTTATGACGAATTACTTCAAGGTTGAGGATCGCACGGCCCTGTGGCAAGCTTTCGTGCTGCATCACGCCATTGCAGTCACAGAAAACTGTGAGCAAATCCTCCAAATTTCACTGAATTTGAGACTGGAGCGGTTAAAAATATTGTAAGGCCTGTACATCATATTTAGCTTGTTCGACTGAAAAAATGACAGCTTTCAATAAAAATGTTGGCGAAGACCCAAATGTGTACATTTCTCGTCGTTCTCAGGAATTAGGACTGTCTTACGGTACATCCATACAAAGTTCAGCTCACACAAATACAGAACCCAGCTGACCATTCACAACATAGCAGAGTGGTCGGAATCACTGATCTAGCGGCAATAAATTAATAACTTATAAACTACTTGAGATATGTTGAAGAAATTCTGTCTATATATATTCAGATTATGCTTTAGTAATGCCCCCATATACCCGAAGGGAGTTTGTGAGTCTCCTAACGGATGCTTAGGGGGATTATCATACCAACTTATTACAAACCGTGAAACTGGAGGCCTTTAGGCCCCGCGGGCCAAAACAGACTATATGAGTGTTCAACAAAAACAAAACACAACCATTTAAGTTTCAGAAAAAATAACGTTACGGTGCAGAGCCTAAATAACTCAGTACCGACGGGTGACGTTGATCTGCCTACGAGTCACGCCCAGTCATCATCCTGCGATCGAGAGCAAACAGCTGCTACAGATGTTGGTATATTGGCATGTGTTGTCGAAGGTACTGCTACAAGCACACAGCACAAGCAGCAAATTAGCACAAATCAGAGTTCAAGGATCTGAGGAGACGAGCAAACTCAGCCCTAATTTCTAAGACATATGTGGATTTAAACTCAAACTCAGAACTGAACATGAAGACAGAACAGATACAACCGCCTTAGAATGGTTAATGAAGTGAGCAAGGAAATTGCTAATCTCACTAATCTCGCCAAGCTCACTACAGGAAAGAAGAAGTTATCCGGCACATAAAAGCGGAAAATAGCCAGAATGAACCGAACATACAAGACTAAACAGCAAGTCAATAATTGTGAAGTCTTTCGAAGAAAATTGTCCACTTAGAGAAAAGAACTCTGCTGTCGAAAAACCCTGGATGACCGGAAGATTCGCCTCAAGATATCTGAAGTATATTGGGACAATTTCCACACTAAGAGGAAGGAATATAACAAAATGACAAGAAATGCTAAACGCAACTTCTGTGAACAGGTATATAGCGTAAATATGTCTCTACAAAAATAAGTTTCCATCAAACCCCCATACTCAAACCAAAACCACGGTAGATGAAACAGGGTAGGGAAACTGAATAGAAACAACAGAGGAAACAATAAGACTTCTCATGAAAGGTCACTTCCCACCAAACACATCGACATCTATTTAAATAATGGTGCTAAGGGAGGAAAGATTCGAGGTGCCTTCTTCGCACCATTCAAAGCAGCTGGGCCAGACAACGTTTCCCCAGGTGTATTACAAAATGAGGACCAATTTTCACCATATTAATACGGTTTACGTGCACTCCGAAAGCCTGACATGTATCCAGGGTAGTCTTCATACTCATGTCCGGCAAGGCAAACTACGCAACAGCAAAAACTTATCGGGCAATAAGTCTTAATTTATATGGAACTATGAAACCAGACAGGAACTCATGGGATAGCGTAGCAACGAACATGCCCTCTGTTACCTGTTGTTACGCAGGTGGCTAAGCTAGCGGAAAAGTCGTTACGGTTATTTTTCATTGAAGAACCGAAAATTTCAATTTACCTACCAGATAACAATACCATCTTACATACGGAGGTTCAAGCTAATTTCTTTATTTCAACTTAACCAATCCATTTCTCAAAAATGTTCTTCACGTCTCATTATGGAAAACGTGGACAAAATCTCCAACATTAGGGGCTATCCCAAATAATGTAGCAAATTCGATAATTTTTAGTAAGAAACACATGGTACGATCAGGAGTGTCGTAATGCTACTGATGTGAAAAACGCAGCGTATAGGACCTGCAAACAGTAGCAACACGCAATGCGAGAGATAATTATCGGTAGAAAAGGAGAGATTAATTTCTGATAAATGAAGAAAAAACTTGAGCGTGAGAAAATCGAGTAAAACACCAAACCGAAGGCTTTGGTGCAGGTACATCCTCCTGTAGAGAAGAAGATGGAAACCTGGTGACAGATACAGACAGCGTGTTGAAGGTCTGGAAGGAGCATTTTGAAAAGCTTCTGGAATAAAATAGTGGTGGTGAAGAAGATACCCCAGAACCAATAAGAGATGACGACATAGAATGTATACCACATAGCCAAGATTAGGTCAGAATAGCAACTAATCGACTGAAGAACAATAAAGCAGCAGGAGCCGATGGGTTACCAGCCGAAGTATTCAAGATTGATGGTCAGATGCTGATCAGGAGCATGCACCAGCTGATTAATACAATTTGGATAGAGGAATGCATGTCCAATGATTGGAATCTAAGCATCATGTGCAAAAAAGGAGTCAAGACGATATGTACCAACTATAGAGGAATAAGACTCCTTCCCATCACATATAAAGTGATATCCAGGGCACTGTGTGAAAGACTGAAGCCAATTGTCTATTACATTAGTGGACCATACCAATGCGGCTTCAGACCTGGCAAATCCACCATTGACCAGATTTTCACTCTGCGCCAAATCCTGGAAAAGACCCTCGAAAAACACATCGACCAATACCGCCCTATCCGTTCAGAGGTGTTTAAAGCCATGTCTACGTTGGGCTACGTTGGGCATTCCTACAAAATTAATACGGCTTTGCAGGATAACTGTAAGTGGCACAAGGTCAGCAGTTAAAGTCGGAAAGGTCCTATCGGAGCGCTTCAATACTGAACGAGGATTCAGACAAGGTGACAGTTTGTCGTGTGATCTTTTTAACATCATGCTGGAAAAGGTCATAAGAGACGCAAAGGTGAACAGAAATGGCTCTCTGTACACCAAACAACACATGTTACTCGCATACGCCGATGACATCGAAATAATGGAGAGAACATTGCGAACAGTAACAGCCACCTTAGAACAATTTGCGAAGGAGTCTGCCAAAGTGGGTCTGGCAGTAAATGGCGAGAAGACCAAGCTGATGGTTTCAACTCGTAGACTCGGACCAACTGTGGAACTTGAGAACTACAGCTTCGAGGTAGTTAAAGATTTTATATACCTTGGTATCGCCATAAATAATACTAATGACATCAGTTTTGAAATTCGAATGTTTCCTTTGATACGTGGAATTATATGGATTAACAGGAAAAGAATTTTCGACCGTCATAATAAACACAATTTTCATTTCGCACCATCGGCGAAATGAAATCCTACGTACGTCCCTGGATGCTACTATGGTCTAAGTAAGCAGTTTAGAAACAAGGCCACCTCCCACCAGACCAAACTCACAATTTACAAGACGCTGATACTACCCGTGCTGTTAAATGGATCTGAAGCATAGGTACTCGTGCAAGCAGATGAGGCAGCTCTTGTGGTGTTTGAGAGAAAAATTCTCCGAAAGATCTACGGGCCGATCTGCGTCGACGGTAAAATATCGGCTTTTAAGTAAGTCTTTTTATATATGCTTTGCGTCACTTATATGTTGAGGTAATCTAATCAGCTTCAATTCGGACATAACATATTGATTTGCTAAGCATTTTTCGTTTACGAAATTTAAGATGGCTCTCTTTACAGGATTTTTTTCTTAGAATACGGTCATTTTTCTGATAGTTTACGGTTCACGTTGCGTACAATGGCATTATAAATATATTTCTTGCTGGTGAAATTTTAACACAAGCGTTAAGTCCACACTATAGGGACTGGTGGCAGGTATTGTGCAATAGATTCTCCATTAGAGTCAGTACGCTAATGCGTACTCGTGAGCAAATATAAAAGAGAATAGAAATAAAACACAATAGTTTAAAAGCTTTGCCTAAAGGTGGTGCAAAAGCAAAATGTACACAAAAGTCCGTTGAAATCTGTCAGTCTCATACTATTACAAGGATGTAATAAAGAGGAGTGAACAGATTTCAACGGCTATGGCCATTCAAATCAAAGGCTATCTATTTGACAATTTTAAATACCAATTCTTGTTTAAACACAAGTTTAGTCAACGTTTATTCGGCTTTAAATTTAATAAAAATTTTCCATATCAATGCACCGATAACAAGTCTTCTGTTTCAAATAACCTTTGTTTTTTATTAAAAATGAAATTAAAACTCCATTTCTATTCTTGTCTTTGCATACGGTTAAGGTTACATGTAAGTCATTTATTTCATTTCTTTATATGCAAGCATATCACTCGATTCACTCTATGACATTGTATCCCTGAGTACTATTATTGTGTCTTGTTCCGTTCTCATCGTCGTCGCCGTCGTCGTCGCACGACAAAGAGGAAAGTACACAATTGAATTCAATGCCATTTAGTGGTGTTCAATTTGATTCAATTTATCCGAAGATGTTTCAAGGAAAGAGAAAAAAAAACAACTTGCAACGCCAAACCAGAAGAGAACCGACACAACGACAAGAAATGCTTGCTTCAGCTTCCGGCAAACTTTTTCTTTCTATGGCATTCCAGCCAAGTAGAATATTTCACTTGAATGCAGAATGTCGCTGGGAAAACAATGACATTACAAGAATAACATTTGTGATGCTTGGTTCATACACGTTGGGGGTCTGAAGATGGACATGAGGTAAAGTAAAATATAGAAAAAAATCAATGTAATCTACAGTATCGTTAACGTGATATGAGACTTGGACGAAATTTTGAAATATGTTGACATCGAAAAAAAAAAACGAAATAGCAATTAATAGTCAATGTGTAGTTATAGTCATGAAATTCCCAGTTCATGCAAAATGCCACAAAAATTGCTCCATATTTGCTTTGATGCATATAATTTTACCCCGTGTGAAGCTTGGTGCGAGTCGGTTAAATGCGAACCTTATGCATAGCCTATGCAGCATAGAGATGCCCATCCAATAGGTAAATACCCGGTATATATTGCGTGTTAACTCATTATCCACTTGACGCAAACTGTCAAAATTTGGCTCACATATTTTTATATCAATAGTTCGAAACATTTAAACAGAGATCCCATTTTCCATACCAGTAATTGTATTGATATCTATACTAATAAAAGTAAGGAGATTGGCTGAGTTAACTATTCATCAAACGCCCAGACGAATCGGCTGAAGATAGAATCTTGAAATTTGGGGTGAGGGTCACACTTGGTCCAAAGGCTGGGTTTTTGGAAATTGGTATTAGAACGACACGAAAAGTTCTAAATATGCTACCATTTGTAATTGGCGAACCGTGGGGCTAGAACTCTGAAATTTGGATTGACGGTTTTTGATGGAGTGTAGGATAGATGTACCAAAGGGTTTTTGGACATTCGAACTATCAAGGTTGATATGTAGGGTCGATATAAGGAGATAGTTTTGAAAGCGTGTACTCATGTATACGAAAAGTTCGAAACTGTACTAAATTTTGTACAATTTGAATTTAGAGAAACGGATGAAGATGGAAAGCTGAAATTTTATGTTAACATTACCGTTGGAGTGTAGAAATATGTATGTATTTTTTTAGAAATTTGTACTTATGTGTACGAAAAGTACTAAATGGTATTATATTTGGTACAATTTTGATTTTGTGTGAGCCAATAGAGCTGGAATCCTGAAATATGGACTTTGGGTCACTGTTAAGGTGTAAATTTGGTATATGTAGGAAGTTTTGGAAATTTGTACTAATATGTACTAAATAGTACCACATGTTTGTGAGATGTGTGGATGAACCGATAGAGCTAGAACTCTGAAATTTGGAAATAAAGTTACGGTTGGAGTGTAGGATTAGTGTATGGAAATAGTTTTGGAAATTTATACTTATGGGTACTAACTTTGGTACAACTTGAATTTTGGGTGAACCGATAGTGTGAGATCCTGAAATTTTGTTTTAGGAAGTTTTGGAAATGCACAGCAATGCAAACAAAATTTTGTACAACTTAAATTATGGGTGAATCCATAGAACTGGAATCCTGAAATCGGGGAAAAAAGTTTCATTGGCATAGGAAGTTGCAGGAAGTTTTGGAAGATTATACTAATGTGTACCAAAATGGTACTAAATGTGGATTTGGGTGGAGCAGGAATCTTGAAATTGGAATTTAGGATCACTGTTGAGGTGTACGATTGGGCTATGGACTAATATGTTCTAAAAGGTACAACATTTGGTGAAGCGATTGGTCTGGAATCCTGAAATTAGGACATATGATTTCTATTGGATTTATATTAAATTGGTAACATTCAGATTTGGGTAAACCTATAGAGCGGAAACAAAGTTTTGGAAACAAGTACTACTAGAGTACAAAAGGTAATAAATTGTACCAACATTAGTATAGAACTAGATTTGTGTTGCGATGAGAATTGATGTGTTGTGTTGAGACATGTACCTAGTTTTAGAAATACTAGAGTACGTAAAGGAACAAAGGAACAAAGGAACTAAGTGTGTATGCTGATTAGCTTTAGACATGTTTAAATAATATTCACATCCGCTAACGAAGTAGCGGGCATATGCTAGTTTCTAATAAATAAAAAATGGTTTCTTTAGACTGTCATCTGGTCATTGTCAAATCATATGCTCTCATAAATTTAGTAGTTGATAAGTTAAAAGTTATACGACAAAATAGTGAGGAGTTCCACACAATATACATATAATAACTGTGGCCTATATCGACTCAAATAAAACACAAAAAATAAGTTTTCGGTCCATTTCATACCAATCTGTTCATCACCGAAAATTATAGGCGTTGTCTTTGACCATAACTGGAACTTCATGGAAAATGTGAAAGCGGTCACCGCTATATTTCCGCCCTCTAGTATGTTAATGGGTTACTAAATAATATATGAATACTTAGATACTCGAAAATAGTGATTTACAACAGTAATTGCATCTTCATTTGAGGTAAAACGCTTACGAGCAAGGATTTTTTTAGATTTGGGAAGAAGTAAAAGTCACTGTGAGCTAAATCAGGAGAATAATGTGGGTGGTCAAGCTGCAACTCGTACTTAAGTTCTTTAATTTAGCCACTCTTGTGCGTTGTCTTGATGAAAAGTTATTTTTTATTCAGGACATTTTTCTAGAATTTGTACTTTTAATTGATTCAAAAGGTTGCAAAAATACTCTGAATTTATTGTTTCACGCCTTTTGCAAATAATCAATCAATAAAATACATCTGAAGTCCCAAAATACCGTTGCCATAACCTTACCAGCCGATTGAATTGTTTTTGCCTTCTTTGGGGCACTTCCTCCAGTTTCAGTCCATTGTTTGGATTGTTCTTTTGTTTCCGGAGTATTGTGGTGGATCCATGTCTCATCAACAGTTATGAAACGAAACTTAAAGTCAATTTTATTTCGCTTAAAACGATCCCAACAAGCTTGAAACTGTTAATAAATGCGGCTCCCATCATGCAGAAAGCTTTATCATCTGCAGTTCTCCATACAAAATTAAATGGACCCGATCATTTGAAATGCCCATGATATTAAAAATTTCACGCACTTTTATTCGTCGATCATTTAATACCATATCATGCAATCTGGCTATAATTTCTGCTGTTTTTGGACGTGGTTCATCTTCAATGCTTGTACGACAACGTTTATATTCAGCAAGCCAATTTTTTACTGTTGCATATGAAGAAGCACTTGTACCACATTCGCCATATCATTATGAATTTCATGTCCCGATAAACCTTTTTTATGTAAATATTGAATGACAGGACACATTTCTAATTTTTTCATTGTAAAAAAATTGCGGATGCGTCTTTTTTGAACACCTGTTTCTATTTGAAGGAGTTGCCAGATAGAAATAAAATTTAACATGTTTTCATAACAGAGATGGAAGTTAGCAAAACACTTAACATTTTTCTATTTATACCGCGCTTTTGGTGCCAGGTTAAGTTTCAACATATAATTGATATCAATTTAAATGTCAATCAGTCCATGGATATACTACCAATTATCTCGGGTCTATGTCATTCAGGAGTAAATATCTACGTCATGCCGACAATCTATTTCCAAATATAGAAATGTGGTTATACCCTACACAACTATGTTGTCAGGGCATTATAGCTTTGTGCTGCCCCAAAAGTTTGTAACGCCGCGAAATAATAGTCCTAGACCCACCTTTAAGTATACCGATCGTCATATCTCGACTAGCTGAGTCTATCTAGACATGTGTGTCCGTCCGTCCGTCTGTCCATTATAATTTGTAAACACAATACAGGCCACAGTTATGAAATTTTGCATGTAGGATGGTTTCTGGCCAATGAAGACCCTATTGTTTTTGGAAAAGATTTGTTAATATTTAGGGGATGGAATGGACCAAAAACTTTATTTTTGTCGGTTTTTCTGGTAGCTCCAGAGGCCGCAATTATGGCCCAAACACCGCGAATGGTGGAGAAGTGGAACGGGCCAAAGAATAAGTATACCTGTTTTGATATAGATCGGTCATTATTTAGCGGGTCGAATGGACCCTGACTTTTGTGTGAAAAATGACAAAATTTGTATTCTATGGCGTATATATATAGTATGTATATATAGTATGTTCAAGAGGAGTGGTTGACCTTTAAATTGATACGAATTATATGGTCGTATGTATTCGGATGTGGGAGTTACACATAAATATTTACATATATTATTTTGTAACCCATTACCACACTAGAGGGCGGAATTATAGCGCTTGTCGCTTTGAAATTTTCCATGAGATTGCAGTTATGATCAAGGACAACGACTATAATTATCGGCGATGATCACATAATCATTTTGGTATGAAATGGATCGGAAACATATGTTTGTGTGTGTTTTTTTTCGAGTCGATCTATAGGCCACAATTGAAAGCCGAACATCACAACACAACCCACGGTGAAGGGAATATGGACAAGTAATTAGAAGGACTGAATATTAGTAATATTCGGAAAATATGTCAGTGTAAGGAAAAGGTGCTGTTGACCTTTAATCGGCAAGGCGGTGCAAATATCAAAAATATTGCCCAGGCTCGAAATAAACATCAGCAGAATGTTAGAGTTCCGTGATAGTTGTGTAGGGTATCCTATGGTCGGCCCCGTCCGACTATACTGCTCCGCTCACTGGTTTTTTTTATATATACACAGTAAATTAAAAGTAATGAATTTATATATATTTGTGAATGCAATGAATAGTTTTGTGCAAATTGTTTAAGAATTACACGTGCCAATCTGTCTTTAAATCGGTCTATATTTTCACATAGCCTTAATATATAATGTAACTAAAAATTTTATTCACTATTTTCTATATTCTATTACAATGAAAGGTTATTCGATATTGAATCACCAAAAATGTTTAATTTCATTAACTTACCCGTTGCCTGTAATTTCCAAATGAAATCCAAACGATAGGTGGCCTCTGTCTGGTGACTATGGAAAATCAGTGCCAGCATAAATGCAAGGAGGAAAATTAAATCAATTATGTAACGCAGTAGTGCCTCCTCATTACTAATTGATAGCAGTTATGGAACATGCCAGAACAGAACATCGTTTATACGTTAGGGTATATTGTGATCACCACAGTATCGACATAGTCCCGGATGTTATCATTGATTGGTTGGTTGATGTTATTATGGCGAACGTGGTTGGTGGTGGTGGCAACATTGTAAAATAACATGCATCGCAAAACAAGCCATTCCATTAACAGTGGCGATGTTCCAATCGAATTCCAACAATCATCATCAATTCATTGCCACAGGGAATACAAATTGAATGGAAGAAGAATATGAGAAAAGAATATGAAATTAGCATTGAAAACTAATAAGTAGAATAGGAAATTAGAAAAATATTTGTTGGTGTACAGATAATGTCAATGTGTAATATTGTTGCATGCAAATATTGTTGCCACAAATCGAAAATAGGTTGAAACCAAATATTGACATTTGCTGTCAAGTCATCTTATCGAAAATTATCATAATGGGTCCACGATTTGGCATAGGCCCATACAGCATTGTTGGTATTTAGTTGATACCCCAGTATTTACTCCAAATATTTATTATTTTCATTTTATGCCTAATTTAAAGGTTATAAGTTCTGAGATACGCTCTCGCTCACAATATTCAGTTTAAAAATATATCAATTATATATTCAAGAGTTTTTTATGTTTTCATTTATTTCATTTTATAAGTACGAATTTAGAAATAAATAAAAAAATATTTTTTTAATGCTCCGAAGCGCCAAAGTACTTACTCTAGTTTGTAATACAACTCCTCCTGCATCAGAATATATACCGAAAATCCAATATAAAACATCGATGCAATTAATAGCAATATTAATTTAAATAGAATTCGTAACACTTGATATGTGGCACAAGTCATCATCGAAAGTAGGGTCAGCAACAGAAAAGTCTAAAGGGAATATAAAAATAATAATAAAAATAATACAAAAAAGTGTGATTAGAACAACTATTTGCAACTTAAGTTATTAAAATAGCAATCTGAAAGTAAATGCAGTCATAACATTTCATTTTCATAAAATTGATTAAATTCAACGTAATTAAATTAATTTATTGATAACTTGTATATTCATATTCAAATCAACTTAATTGAAATACTTACATTAATAGCTAAGTAATAATCACAGTAAAATTTATTAAATTTAGAGCCAAGTGGCTTTATTTTTGTCCATCTCTCTTCTTCGGTGGGTTGAGTTTGATTTTGTTGTTGTTGTACAGCGCTCAAGTCAAATAACATCGCGTCGTTTATTTCCTTGTTATAGAAACTGTTATTACTATTATCCATATTGGCTATGCTTTTTGCGGAAGATGGCACAATGATCATCACTTCTTGAAACTGAAAGAACAGAAATAGGTTAACGAAAAAATTACATAATTTTGTCGGAATAAATTCATCAGTCAACTTGTCATACGTGATTCTACGTTCAAAATTTGATACGAATCTGTCTTATGTTAAAATTATATGGGGACTTGACAAATTTGGACTCATTGCCTTATTGCATTTACATATAGTTAACCAGTAAGGAAAGTAGTAAAGTCGGACGGGGCCGACTATATGATACCCTTCACCACTATGGGACTATTATCATGAAATTGTATGAAATAAAATATGTGATATCTATCTAAATGTGAAACGACCTAGATCTATCCACAAACATGCCATTCGCTTGTTACAATGGAACAGAATTATGTAAATCGACTTCAAACAAATATCAATAGTTCATCCGTTGAGCTAGGTCTGTATTTATAGAAAACCCAACTACGTTATTCTATGCTCAATTGTGTACGTTTTGCAAAATTTGATGTCAATCTAACAAATATTAGGAGTTTGATGCACAATTTACTTAAATATGGATGCTATATCCAAATATGAACCGATTTCAACGAAACTTGTCACAGGTTAAGTTATACTGATTTCATTACGTCTTGTTCCTATCAGCCATATATTAGTTCCTTGGTGCGTCAATTACTTAAAATCAATCTATAATATAAGGGAGCTATATCTAAATCTCAACCGATTTTCACTAAACTTGGCACACATTATTCTGGATTAAAATCAAAACGATATGCAACATAAGAACTTGGTACATTATTTAGATTAAATCGGACGAAAAATATATATATATATATATATATATCTAGATCTGAATCGATTTTCACGAAACTCAGCACATATCATTCCAGCAGTACGTTTTGTCAAATGTCGGGTAAATCGAAAGATATATGGGACTTTGGTGCACCATTTACATGAAATCGGACGAAACTATATATGGGAGCTATATCTAAATCTGGACCGATTTTCACGAAACTTGGCAGACATTATTTTAGGCTCAATCAGTACGTTATGCCAAATTTTGTGCAAATCGAATGATATATAGGGTATTTGTGCACAAACTATATATGGGAGCTATATCTAAATCTGGACCGATTTTCATGAAACTTGGCAGACATCATTTTAGGCTCAATTCAGTCTGTTATGCCAAATTTCGTGCAAATCGAATGATATATAGGGACTTTGGTGCACAATTTACATGAAATAAGACGAAACTATATATGGGAGCTATATCTAAATCTGGGCCGTTTTTCATGAAATTCAGTTCATTATGCCAAATTTCGTGCAAATCGAATGATATATAGGGACTTTGGTGCACCATTTACATGAAATCGGACGAAACTATATATGGGAGCTATATCTAAATCTGGACCGATTTTCACGAAACTCGGCAGACATCACTCTATGCTCATTTCAGTACGTTATGCCAAATTTCGTGCAAATCGAAAGATATATAGGGATTTTGGTGCACCATTTACATGAAATCGGACGAAACTATATATGGGAGCTATATCTAAATCTGGACCGATTTTTGCCAATTTCAATAGGATTCGTCCTTGGGCCAAACAAATGAACTGTGCCAAATTTCATTCAATTCGGATCATAAATGCGACCTGTACTTCGCTCACAAAAATACATGGACAGACAGACGGACGGACATGCTTAAAAAGTTATTCTATGCATATTCTCAAAAGGAACGATGTGTCTATCTCGTTTCCTTTTCCCTGTTACAAACATATGCACAAATACATAATACCCTGTACCACAGTTTGGTGAAGGGTATAAAAATATTTAGAAATTCTGATAGGACCTTCAACATATTGAAATGGGTCGTGAACTTTATATGTGTGATATGTAAAAGCAATGTACTATACTCTTACTTCGGTTGGAAAATATGCTACTTAAAATTGGGCGAGATCTGAAAATGGAGGATATACGAACACTTGGACCTATATTGCACATTTTCTGCAAATGTGTTATCATGTTCCAAGAACTAGAAATGCCAAATTGCATCCTCTTCGGTTGGTAAGTGTGATTAAAATTGTCAATATTATTAAAATAGGACGGTGACGTTATACGGGGTCTATACAAAAAAAAAAAAAAAACGCGGACATTATGCCAACAACTCAGAATACCAAAGTACATTAACTTCGACTGGAAATTTACATTAACTTCGACATAGAAAATTGTACAAAATACTGCCATTAAAATTCGCTTCGATAATATCCAACTGTGGATCAATATTAAACAGTCTTGAAATGTTAATGTTAAATTTCAAAAGTGGATTCAGTAGACATACGATAATAGATAGAATTTTATTCTTAAGACGTTGTTTGAAAATTTCTTCTGATCTCACTGCACAAATCGGAATCAAATTTAATAGTAGGATTGTTGTACTCATGATTAAAAAAAATCATTTTCTGCAGGACCTTGTATGGTATTAGGAAATTGAAGGCCTAAAACACATTTTCTACAACTCCGATTTTTATACACCCATTCGAATAAAGTATATATATTCTCCATCAGAATAAAATTCTATGTAGATTTATGCGTGTCCGTCTGCTGTCTGCCCGTTTGTCTGTTGAAATCACAATAGCAATCGCAATATTTGAGATAGAGCTTTGAAAATTTACACTGGCATTGCAATTACTCCTAGGATTGTTGGTATTGTAAACGGGGTATATCGGTTGACGTTTTGGTAGAGCCACCAACTTTATCCCAAATATTCTGCATTATGAGGATTTTTAAATCGAATTAGCTGTAATTTGACGCGTTTTAGGGTACCCCCAAAAAAACTTATGTACATAATCGGTATTTTGGGGTTTTTAGACAGATTTTTTTCAACAGAATCAACTGTAAATTAATATTTTGAACTCAATTTGGATATCACATCTTCCTATCAAAAATTACCAATATTGTCTCATGTTTCGGGGTAGCCACCCTATAACGGTACTCCCCAATATTCAATATTTTAATGGTTTTGTGCTCATGTTTCTACCGAATTGGCTGTAATTTGTTATTTTAGGTTGTGATATTATAGTAAATCATCCTAAAAATTATCAAATTAGCAAAATTTCCTTTCCTTTTAAGGAAGCCCCTATATAAAACTAGACCGAAACATCGGTATTTTTGGTAGCAATTTAATATTTTGGATTTCCATTGAGTAATAAATTTCCCTACCAAAAATTTTGATTTAATCGAATCATATTAACCGGGAAGCCCCCAAAATTTCAAGTTATTTTGGGGAATTATTAGCTTTAATTTGATTTTTCAGGTTTTCATGGGATGTCAAAAATTCCTACCGAAACATCGGTATTTTTGGTAGCAATTTAATATTTTGGATTTCCATTGAGTAATAAATTTCCCTACCAAAAAAACAAGAAGAAAACAAAAACAATTTTTTGTGAATTATTTTTCTTCCTAATTTGATTTTTCAAATATATATGTGCAAAGTTACTACTGGTAAACTTTTCAAGCATTGGTATTCCCCATATAAAATCTAAAAATAAAAAATCATGGGGAGCTTGGGCACTTGATTTTACCTAATTAGCTGTATTTTCATTTTTTGGATGTCACAAAATTCCTACTAAACCTTATAAATATTGGTAAACTTTTCAAGTTTGGCACACCATAAAAAATTGTACATCCATTACCCATTTCAGGGGAATTCGCTGTAATTTTGATACATCAAATTCTTATGGGGTGTCAAATGTTCCTACCAAAAATTATCAATGTCACACCATTTTCGGTATTAGAAGACTATAGGTGCATTTTTCTGCCCCACAGATATAACCTCATGTAACAGTACCACTTCTTTTTCGGTAATAATACATTTTAACATATCGGATTCCTGGATAATAAAAATACATTAAAAAAGTCCCGCATAAGTTTTCCAGGTAGAGTGTCTGTAATTTGGAACACTATTTTTTCGGATCATGAATAACCTACTATCACATAATACCATAGCAGGAATTTTGAATTTGTGTACTTGTTTCGCATTCTTTTTTTACAAAAATGGCTGTAATGTGACATTCCGGATTTTTGGAAATTGACATGCAGTCACTGATGTTTTGTATTGCAAACTTGGATATTGCAAACGATATTATTTCACCTTTTTTTCTACAAAAATGGCTGTAATCTGACATTCCAGATTTTTGGAGTCTGGTATACATTTGGGCAGAGAATGCTCAATATAGGTTCATATTTTAGTCTTTAGTTCCTTGACAGTTTTTTTCCAGCAATTAGTCATTTGCCTTTTGCAGAAATATTTATGCAGAACACTTTAATATAGGTCCATGTTTTAACATAATCATTTTATAGGAGTCCTTCCTCATTTTTGTGTTTCGTTAAGGGTAGACAACATAATTAAAGAGAACTTTCAGTACATGTATATATTTCGACATATTCCCCATTTTCAGTGCTTCGAAGAGGTATTTCCCCACAGAAGTGACGGTAATTAGAAATTGCGGTATATGTGTGAAATATTTGTGCCGAATATTTTTTACGTATAGGAACGTTTAGGTAAAATAGGTCCAGTGTGTTTTTCTTGTATCTAACTAGAAAACAAAGAAATATTTGAAACCAGCGGAGCAGTAAAGTCGAACGGGGCCGACCATATGATACCCCACTCAACTATTACGAAAATCTAACTTTATACGGTTCTATATTATGAGACTGGGCAATATTTCGCGATATTTTCATACCCTTGGCCGATTATATTATAGGTATCTGTTTACCTACCACTATCTAATCCTGGCATATTTTACAAATCTTGTTATTCCCAGGTGAATATTTACGCCATCAAATAAAAAAATCGTCACTTTAGGTTTTGGTTGATTTGACCCTCGGAATATTGACATATCATCATCTAAGCAGCTATTTTGATTCACCGTGTAAAATATGTGACGTTCTGCATATAATAATGGAGTCTGGGTCTACTAAAAATCTGACAAAAAAATTTCGGTTCTTTGGTAAGTCCTGAATATCATCTTAACATCACCGAA